TGTAAAACCCCAAACTCCACCTCGGGTCCCTCCTGCGCTGACTTCTCCCTTCTCCCTGCTCTGCCAGCCCCCAGCCTGGCAGCCAGGGGCATTCCCTGGCCCAGGCAGAGGTGTCGGGATCCTCCTCCTGCTCCTCATCCCTGGAGGCGCCGCTGAAGCTGCGGCGCCTGAGCTCAGCCGGCGGCGCCAAAGCCGCGCTCTCGGTGGAGGACGACTTCGAGAAACTCATCTGGGAAATCTCCGGGGGAAAACTGGAGGCAGAAATCGACCTGGATCCAGGCAAGGATGAGGATGATCTCCTGCTGGAACTCTCCGAGATGATCGACAGCTGAAAGTGAAGGATTTTTATTGGAAAAAAAAAAAAAGGGGGGGGGGAAAAGATGCGACGCCAAAAAAAAAAAAATCCCCTAAAAAAGCAAAATTTCCTCCTGGCACCCCGAAGAAATGCTGGAAATGCTGTTGGATCCGTGCAGGAGATGCTTTCCCAGCTGGATTGGTGGGAATAGGCAGAGTCTGCTCTCAGTTATCCCAAAATTCCTGGTTGGGTTTGTCCCACGTGGGACGGAGCACTTGGAATTCCCTGGAGGGACAACACAGATCCCATGGCAGAGCTCCCTCCTGGACAGAAAAACCCCAAAAAAATCCCTGGAGTTACTGTGTCAACTCTGGAATCCACGGTGGACTCGGAATTGGGGGGAATTCGGGGGTGGAAAAACACCGGGAGGAATTTTGGACCAAACCCTGCCAGGGTGAGCCTGGCTCCGAACGATCCAAGGGGGATTTTTCTTGGAATTTTGGGATGGTGGAAAAATCAAAATTCCTCCTGGAATTTGGGAAAAGGAGCATTGCTTCAAGTGCCTCTGGATTTTGAGGATTTTTCCCTGTAATGAACCTCCCACATCCAGCTGGGATCGTTGTGGGAGGGGAAAAAAAACAAAAAAAAACCCAAAAAAACCACCTGGAATATTCCCCCCTTGGCTGCTTCCCTCTTTTCCAACCTATTTTGGAGATGGGATTGAGAGGAATCCCCGTGGATTTATTTTTATTTTTCATTTTTGTTTATTTTGATTTTAGTTGGTTTTTTTTTTTGGTCCTGTAAATATTTTATTCTTCCATTTTATATTTGTATGATTCTATTTAAGGGATTAAAGGTAGGCTGCTCAACTGTGGTGTCCTTGCAGAGTTTTGTGCTTTGATTTAAGGAATGGTATCCAACAAGTTTGGTGGGAATGCTGGAATTAATTAGAAATTAATTAGAAATTAATGAAAAAATAATGAAATTAATGAAGAATAATGAAATTAATTAAAAAATAATGTAATTTATTGGAAATTTAATGAAATTTATTGGAAAATAAATGGAATTTATTGGAAAATTAATGAAATATATTGGAAATTAATGAAATTAATGAAAAATGAAATTAAAGAAAAATTAATGAAAAAAAAGAAATTTATTGGTAAATTAATGGAATTTATTGGGAAATTAATGAAATGTATTGGAAAATTAATGGAATTTATTAGGAAATTAATGGAATGTATTGGGAAATTAATGAAATTTATTTGAAATTAATGAAATTTATTGGGAAATTAATGAAATTAATTGAAAATTAATGAAATTAATGGAAAATTAATGACATTAATTGGAAAACAATGACATTAATTGGAAATTAATGAAAATAATGAAATTTATTGGAAAATAATGAAATTGATGTAAAATTGATTAAATTGATGGAAAACTGATGAAATTTATTGGAAATTAATGAAATTAATGGAAAAATTAATGGAATTTATTGGAAAAATAATGAAATTTATTGGAAATTAATGGAAAAATTAATGAAAAATTAATGAAATTTATTGGAAAATTAATGAAAGGCGCTCAGCCTGGAGAAAAGGAGGCTCAAGGGGAATTTGGGATCTTCCACAGGAACATGGGAGAGATTTCAGGGAATTTTTTTTGCTTTTTTTTTGTGACTTTGTGGGATAAATGAACAGGAAAACTCGAGCACTGTAAGAGCACAAAAATTACTTTATTTTAAAATTTTGGGTATTTAAGGGCGCAGCTCTGCTGTAGCTCTAAGCCAGGGGAACATTGCTAACAAATGTTTTATTTATAGATGAATTGTGGTTATTCAAACCAAATTAAATAATAGTGTGAAAAATGCCCAACACTTAGTTTTTAAATTTTTAAATTTTAATAATAAATCGGTTATAAAACTAATAACACAATTACAGTAATAAAGTGTAGAGTTAGGACAATTAGAAGACAATAAAAAGCAGATTTTTTTGATTAATTTTTTGATTAATTAAACAAGAAATTCGCTTTTTCTGATAAGAAACCCATAAATTCCTTTTTTTTGGAAGATTTTGGTGTTCCTCGAAGCGAGTATCTCATTCCTTAAAAAAAA